GACCTTTCAATCTCGGAAGCGTCTCCATCCAAAGTGAACATAATGTCCTCATTTTTTCTTTCCCTTCAAACCAAAGTACTTTTATGTGAAACATTTTCCATAAAAATATGTTATTTACATGATATTTCGATGCCAAAGTTAAAACGAGACACTCTTTATAAAACAACAAACGAAATAAAAATAACAGTTATTTATGGAATAAATATCATTTTACAGAAAAATGTTTTATACTAAAGTCATAGGATTACAAAAGATCTATATACTGATCTTATCAGTTTGACCTTGAGTGGAGGCGCTTCGGAGATTTGAAGGTCATTTTAATTTTTTTAAATAGAAGTATCCTAATTTTGTAATACAAATCGATTTCTTGCAATATTCGGCGTAAAAAGTTATAGAAGTAGTATAGCCGAAAATTGAATACTTTACGAGATATTTTATACTTTTATTTCACATAATTTTACATAAACTGTAAAATATCTCGTTAAATATTTATTTTTTAATTATCTTACTTCAACACTTTTATGCACAAAATAATGAAAGGAATTGATAGATGTAAAAAAGACATAGTTATTTTTAAGAAAAATATATGATTGATTATTTTGACAACTAATTTTTTTTTTCAAGACAACGATGTGTTTTTTTTACATCTGTCGATTCCTCTCATTATTTTGTGCATGAAAGTGTCAAGGTAAGATAATTGAAAAATTATTATTTAACGAGATATTTTAGTTTTTATAAAATTATGTGAAATTAAAGTATAAAATATCTCGTAAACTATTCAATTTTCGGCTATACTACCTCTATAACATTTTTCGCCGAATATTGCAAGGAATCGATTTGTATAACAAAATTAGGATAGTTCCATTTCAAAAAGTGAAGATGACCTTTCAATCTCCGAAGCGCCTCCATTCAAGATCAAACTGATAATATCAGTATATAGTACATTTTAAATCCTACAACTTTTGTATCAAACATTTTTCTCTAAAATAAGTTTGTTTCGACATATTTTACCGTTCCGGAACTTTTGATACACTGTGTGTATATACAGGGTGTCCCATTTTAAATTACGCACCTGAATATCTCGTCAGGGGAACCACCAATCCGAAAATAACCCTTACAAAAGTTGTTGGGTTCGGAGGGAGACATCCGACGATGACATTGGTTTAACCTAGGGTGTACATGCCAAAGTCATTTGGAGGTCAACTTTGTTTTTTAAATGGAACACCCTATTTTTGATTCCAAAATCTAATAGCTGGTGTCAAGAGCTTTTCAAAACACTATAATAAAGTTATTTTTTATTAAGTACTTTTCGAGTTATGAGGCTTGTAAATTACAGTATTTTGACATAAAATATATAATATCTTGTAAAACATTCAGTTTTTGAGAATGTTACCTTAATACTTTTATGCACAAAATAATAAGACAAATGAATTGGTATAAAGAAAACACATTGGTTTTAAAAAAAAGTATGCAGTTGCATGTTGCAAATTACATATTTTTTCTTGAAAGCAACTATGTGTTTTCTTTATACCAATTGATTCGTCTCATTATTTTGTGCATAAAAATATTAAGGTAAGATTCCCGAAAATTCAATGTTTTACAAGATATTTTGTATTTTATGTCAAGATGCTGTAACTTTCAAGCCTCATATGTAACTCGAAAAGTACTTAATGAAAAATAACTTTGTAACGATGCAGCATGCATCGATACGAGGATACTCATATTCCGACCGAGCGTACTCGGCCCCAGGAACCGTCCTCCGTTCCTCAGTGCGAGCATACTCGTACGTCACCGAGAATACTCGGCCTCGATCCTCGCATACGAGCATACTCGTATATCGCCGAGCATACTCGGCTTCGCTTCTTACATACGAGCATACTCGTATACCGCTGAGAATACTCGGCTCCGCTTCCGACTTCCGATCACCGTAGGACACGGGCAATACGTGTGTCCTCGATCCCGTCTTCATCCCTTCAAATCGGGTCCTTACATCCGGCAGACAATCGCGATTAGTCGATTTGAGCGATCATCGAATCACCGCGCACGCGCCCGAACCATCGATCAGTTCGATCGATAGTCGATACCGCGCGCCCATATCGATCCACACGCCCGTAGCGATCTAGAGACAACCGCGGCACCCGCGCTTGCGCCGACGCTTCCATACGACCACCGCTACACGCCGCCTTACGCCGCCGTAACTATTATAATTTTGCAACACGCGTTCAGACACCACATTAATACTCTCCGTATCCACACGGCTGTATATATCTAACATTAATTTACGTAATAAACCTCATTATATTTTATTAATACAAAACAGCGCATTCTTTTAACGCGCCCCCAACCGACCGAACTCCTGATCCCGGCAAACTATTCCGCGCAGATAAACGGATTGTTTCAACTTCATTATAGTGTTTTGAGAAGCTCTTGACACCAGCTATTAGATTTTGGAATCAAAAATAGGGTGTTCTATTTAAAAAAACAAAGTTGACCTCCATATGACCTTGGCATGTACACCCTAGGTTAAACCAATGTCATCATCAAATGTCCCCCTCTAAACCCAATAACTTTAATCTAAATCATTTTTCTTGAAAATGTTTCTCTGAAAAGTTATTCACGTGGGGTTTTTAAAATGGGACACCCTGTATATAAAAGTCAGCCAAATCGGAGAGAACAATCTCTGGTGTTTTCCTTGTAAGTCTCGTGGTCGAACTGGTTTCTCGAATAATTCTATGATGTGGAAGATAATAGATTAACTCAGGTTCTGGCTGAGAATTAGGTACAAGTCTCATGTGACCTAATATCTCGTATTCAACTAAAAATTCTGAATAAATGTGTTCATAATTTGAATTATTTGCGAATTTTTTTGATAGATTTATGATTATACGGCGGGCTCTTGAACGAGAATCTCCTAATTTAGCTGCGGATTGTTTGAATGGAAGCCTTACTGTGTATCTTCCTTGTTGATCTCGCGAATGAGATAGTTTATAATGTCGCTCACATTTCTGGTCGTCGTTTGATAGAGATGATGAAGTTAAAGATGATACTTCCTCGAGCTTCCAAAAACGTTGAAGAAGATCATGAAGTTCTCTATCAACTGATATATGATATCCATGTGACGATTTTATTGAGGTGTTGTTAGCAGGACCTGAAATCACCTAGCCAAATATAGTTCTGCGATAATCGCTGTGCAATTGGTAAGTTTGCTTCTTCTTTAGCGATTCCGTCCTCAATAATCTGAGAATAAACATCGGCTCCTAGTATTATATCAATGGATCCAGGAGACTTGTAATTAGGATCAGTTAATGGAAGTTTTTCTAAATGAGGCCAAACTTGTTTTTGAACATTGACAGAAGAGACGTGATTAATTTAGGTAAAATATGTGTAGATATGGAGATTTCAGAGCTAGCATAAAAGTGAGATCTTAGAGTGACATGAGTCAAGCCTTTAGTCTTATTCGCCTTCTGACCTCTTATGCCATATAACGAAACAGAAGAATGAATTCTTGGAAGGTGAAGTAGCTGAACTATATGTTCTGAGATAAGAGAAATTTCAGAACCTTGATCAATTAATGCTCTCACCTTTGTTTTTTCCCCTACTATCTGATATAACGAAGATTTGAGCAGTAGCAAGTAGAACAACTGAATTGAATGGTTTTGGTTCCATCGACGAATGGAGCACATGAGTTTCAGTGGATTTTCCTTCTGTAGCGGTTGTCTTTCAATGATGAGGTTGCAGAAGTCGATGTTCTATTTTTGATTTGTTTTATTTGTTATCCTATTATTATTTTGATGTATTGTTGTGTAATGTTTATGCCCGCATTTAAGGCAGTTTAGTTATCCGACATTTAGATACTTTATGAGATCCGAGACAATTATAACAGAGTTTACTTTTGTTAATAATAGTCAATCGTTGTTGTATTGATTTTGAGCTGTACTGAGGACAATTTGTAATGTAGTGATTTGAAGAACATAGGGCGCATGAACCAGGTTTATGAGAGTGAGCATCTTTCGCCTTTCCTTAAAAATGAGACTTAGTAGTATTAGAGTGTGAGAAAGTAGAAGGTTTTCCTGTTCGAAATTTTTCGAAAGCTTGGAGAGAGAGAAGCCTTGACAGCAAAAATTCGTTCAGTTGACGTCACGTAGGAAGCTCCTCTGAAGAGCCTAAATAATGTTCCCAAGCTTTAACTGACTCTGAATCGAGCCTCTGAACTGCAATAAATACAAAAATGTCATCCCATGTACGTACAGGCCTTTTTAATGTTTCGAGTGTGCGATAAATTTGAATAATATTAGTGTAAAGCTGTTCCATAACGGCTGATTCCTTTGACCTACGTTTAAAAGTCGTAAAAGAATGTAGAACTAAGTTTACGAAAAGTTGTTTATTTGCATAAAAAGAAATTAACGTCTCCCACGTTATCTGAAAATTATCACCAGTGAGTGTTGTATTTTTTAATAAATGAGAAGCCGATCCTGTTAAACTTGTTTTAAGATATTGAAGTTTTTTTACTGATGACAATGTTGGGTTGGCTGAAATGAGAGAAGTAAAAAGATCCTTGAAAGATAGCCATTCGGAAGGAGAGCCGTTGAATTTTGGAATAATCGAGGAAGTCGAGTATGATGAAAAAAAACAGGGAAATTAGAATTCTGAGATGTAAATTGAGTTGAGGGAATTTCAAGAGTTTCTTCCGAGTCTTTATCAAGGAAAGAATTCATCCTTTCTACCGATTCGAGATAACATTCGTACGTAGTCGAAAATAAATTGTCCGAAAAATATGAATATGTAGTAATTGTAACCGTTCTTTTATTGTGACTTTAGTAGTTATACTATGCCGGTTCTAACCCAGGGGCAATGAGGGGGGTGCGGGTGAAGAGGGAAAGAGGGGTATCAGATAACAGTGGAGGGGGTAATGACGTCATCGTTTTGGAGGAGAGGGGGGTAATTTAGGAGTGGTGGGGGGTATCAGATAACAATAATTCCTGGAAGTGGGGATTCCGGGATTCCCGGAAGAGATAAGATAAGGATTGTTAATACAAACATGAGTCGTCGAGAGATAAGGATTTCTGGAAGAGATAGGGATTCCGAGAACTGTTTAGATCCTTTGGTTTTTCTCTGCGCATCAAAGTGGAGCGCCATGTTGTCGGAATGCATCATCGCAATGTTTATACAATAAGAGTATATACGGCCCGCGAAGAACGAGTGGTATAACAGTCGAAATGTTCATCGCACTCTCGGATGAACGCGATATTCTCAATTTAACAGCAGCGGAGTTAGAATTTGTGCCAAAGGTGATTTTATTAAGCAAGTTTGCTCGGTTCGTGGACCAAGTGTGGGAGAAACTTCTGGAACACGTAAGAGTGGACCCGGAAGTGCAGGGTTACCGTCGGTGCAAGAAACATCACAATCAACCGTGGCAGCGCGACCACATCGACGGACCCGCGCCATACGTTAAAGATTGCACTCTGTGCGAATTAGGTGAGAAAAATATCTCTAAAAATAGAAAGTGAGAAATATTCAGCGAGTAGATATTTAGGTGTATTGTAAAATGTTTCAGGATCACCACGATGCGACAGCCGAGGAGTCTCGTCGAACTCGCCAGGAAGGTCATAAACCAGAACGTCGCAAGCAGATACCTATTGAGCGATCTACCGCTTCCGGAGAAGTATATTCGACAATTGTATCAGACGTATGGTCGGGATCGCTTCGAAAAATTGTTATCAAAATGTAAGACGCAAGTCGAGTACTTAGGCATCGTACAGTTGATGTGTTGTGTCGATGCCGACGAAATGTCGGAAATGTTTGTATGCGAATATTGAAATAAAAAATTTTTATTATTTAAAATGTAAGTCTTTTTTTTTATTTATCATCCCGCAGTAGTAATATAAGAGAACGCGTCGATTGTACCGACTTATCGCGAGTTATGTTACACCGTTGTAGCGGACCATTTAAATAAACAATTTCAAAAGTTTTATTAAAATAAACTTATTCATATTAAATAAAAATAATTTAAATTATTATTCCTGTGCCTCATCTTATTCACTGACCTATCCTACCGCGAGATAAGCGACAGATCATATGTCACGAGGATCGTATAACTGAGGTGGAATAAAAGTCGTACGATATAAATCATTTTTTCTTTTATTTACGATGAATGATATAGAGTGAAATAATTAAGTTATACATTTATTCTAAACACCAATAATATACTTCAAGTTTTCTTTTTAATACGAATTATCCGCGGTAAAATATAAATTTAATAGGAACTTTAATCTAAACTTAATATGTAATTTAAGGATGGGAAGTGAAAGGAGAAAAAATCGCAATAAGATTAATATTAGCAAATTTTATTCATATTTTTGTAAAAGATGTTACATAGATAAAAAAAAATTGTTTCAACTGAGCCTCTAACGCCTTTCACGATTACGAGGGGGAACGGGGGGAGGCGCTTGAGTCGTCCTCGGACGAGGCTCGACCACAGCTATCGGCTTGTGGTACACTCCGCAATCTTTACACTTCTCGTATTCGGAATTTTTTCTATTCTGATCACGCTCCATTTTCTATACTTTTTTCTCCACCGCGTGCACACTTTGAACTGATAAATTACTCTCTTCCGCACACCTTATATACAGCTCGACGCAAAAAAAACGTCAATTTCGCTGTAGTAATAAACGTTAAAATACGTTCGATAGATGTTAAAAGTGGTTTAAGTAATGTTGAAAAGATGTACAAAAGATGTACGTAAGATGTTCAACAATACGTTAAAAGACGTTCGATAGACGTTCAAAGCGTTCGTAGCGTTCAAGACGTACGATAGATGTTCTTACGAATAATCTCTTCGCGAGATAAGCGACAGAGCATATATCACGAGGATCGTATAACTGAGGTGGAATAAAAATCATACGAGAGATGTTCAAAGATGTACGATAGACGTTCCATTAGATGTTCAAAGACGTTCAAAGACGTACGATAGACGTTCAAAGACGTACAATAGACGTTCGATAGACGTACGAGAGACGTTCGATAGACGTTCAAAGACGTACGATAGACGTTCAAAGATGTACGAGAGGCGTACGATAGACGTTCAATAGATGTTAAAAGTAGTTCGATTGACGTTCAAAGACGTACAATAGATGTTAAAAGTTGTACGTAAGACGTTCAACAATACGTTAAAAGATGTTACATAGATGTTAAAAGTAGTTCGATTGACGTTCAAAGACGTACAATAAATGTTAAAAGTTGTACGTAAGACGTTCAACAATACGTTAAAAGATGTTACATAGATGTTAAAAAGTAGTTCGATTGACGTTAAAAGACGTACGATAGACGTTGAATAGATGGAAATATCATACGCTGGCCTATCGTCCTAGCGAAACCTTAGATCCGCGATTACTATTCCTCGAAAAGGAGATGCTACTGTCGAGCGAGTCATCTCGTCTTCGGCATATTATAAAGAATTATATTGTTGTAAACTATCAGCGGATATCGATACAAATGTTAGTTAGCGACGAATAACTTAGCACCTATCGTCCTGGCGAAACCTTAGATCCGCGATTACTATTCCTCGAAAAGGAGATGCTACTGTCGAGCGAGTCATTTCGTCTTCGGCATATTATAAAGAACTATATTGTTGTAAACTATAGTGGATATCGATACGAATGTTAGTTAGCGACGAATATAATAAGATTATAATAAGATTTAGCGGCATCTTTGATGTAAGGGTATATAAGTCGGGATTAACTACTGCATCCATAATAGATCTTTGTTGTTC